CATGAGCCACCGCACCTGGCCTTCTCTCCATTTTGTAATAAAGGCATCTTAAGGCCCAAAGGGGCTAAGGCGGGTCTTATGGGCAGCCAGAAGTCACCGATCTGGGGCTGATCTGGTTTTGTGGGTGAGCAGAGACGCCCCTCCCCTCCACCTTTCCAAAGGGCCCCTGACTTAATGGCTTTCGTTAGACCGCATCAGCGAGCGGGCTTGGAGCCTTCTGGGAGGAGGTGGAGGATGAGAGCAGCCTGGCTTGGCATTATCTGGCCCCCCTGCCAGGCTGTTTGTGAGCTCCCACAGCTTCCAGAGCTGGTGTCAGCTAAGTCCAAAGTATTTCTCTTTTTAAGTCTTCCAAAAACATTATAACACCATTACATAAAGTATAGAAAATGGAATGAAAGCCCCACCCATAACCCCCCACCTGATAGGACGGCCTCAGTGTGGCTCTGTGCTCTGCACCCTCCCTGCTGGGCTGGGGTCAAGGAACTGACCTTTGCCCCTGTCCCCTGCTATGCCTGGGCCTGAGCTGTAGGGCTGGGACTTGGGCCTGGCTAGGGTGGAGGATTTAGCAGAGCATGAGATGACGGATATGCAGGGGCTGGGCAGCCAGGAGAGGCAACTCCTGAACCTTGTCTGGGTAGATAGGAAGGATGGCAGAGGGCAGCCCCAGCCCAGCGGACAGCTCAGACGAAGGCCTGGAGGTGCATCTCGGCAGCCTCTCTGGGTTCTTGGTTTCTGGAGTGTCAGGTCTGAGGTGGAGGGGATGAGACGTAAAACCCAGAGGCGCTGGTGCCTTGGGAAGTGAGAGAGGAAGGTACCTCTGCTCCAGCATTGGGCCCATGCTGTGCCAGGGGCTGAGTGTCCATCGCTCAGCTTCCTCCCGGCTGCAGCAGCCTGGGAGGCTGGATTATTGCTGCTAAAAATTCTGTTTATTGTTCCCTTCTAATTAGAAAAATATCCCCGGCACATCACAGGGAATTTGGAAAATGTGGAAGAGTATAAAGAAGAAAATGGCAATCTGGCTCACTCCCCGCTAGAGCTGGCCCCGTTGGCACGCTGGGGAAGTGGCCTCTGTACGGAGGCTGTCGGGGGGCTGTGCTGTCCACATGCCTTCCCATGCTCGGGTTCACCCCCAGGGCACACAAGGACACTGAAAACCCAGCACCTGGCCAGTGAAGGATTCTCAAATTGGTGAGAAAAGCTATTTTAAGAAATTGAAATTGGGCCGGGTGTGGTGGCCCACGCCTGTAATCCCAGCATTTTGGGAGGCTGAGGCCGGTGGATCACCTGAGGCCAGGAGTTCAAGACCAGCCTGACCAACATGGAGCCCCGTCTCTACTAAAAATACAAAAATTAGTCGGGCGTGGTGGCACATGCCTGTAATCCCAGCCGCTCGCTTGAACCCGGGAGGCGGAGGTTGCGGTGAGCCGAGATCGCGCCATTGCACTCCAGCCTGGGCAACAAGAGGGAAACTCCATCTCAAAAAAAAAAAGAAGCTGAAATTATGCTGTGAATTATGCTGTGTACATTTATTTTTATTTTTATCTTTATTTTTTGAGACGGAGTCTCGCTCTGTCGCCCAGGCTGGAGTGCAGTGGCCACATCTCAGCTCACTGCAAGCTCCGCCTCCCGGGTTTACGCCATTCTCCTGCCTCAGCCTCCCAATTTTTTTTAATTTTTGAAAACAATTCAAATATACGGGAAAGTTGTAAGACTAGAACAATGAACCCTTGACTTCCTGTCACCCAGATTCACTGGCTGGGACCTGAGCTGCTACCACTTTTGAATTCCTGTGTGCACTTGAGTTGTACCCTAAATGTGTCCCTGAGCTGTCAGGGACATCGTCATTGTCCGTCAGAAGATGCAGGACTTGAGGGCCTCAGGGTTCTTTCTGCCACAGAGGTTTCTGCAGCCAGGAGAGTTGCAGGGTTGAAGGAACTCAGCTCTGTGCCCCCCTCACTAATACTGTCATTGAAAAAGGAGGTGGGGCACAGTGGCTCACGCCTGTAATCCCAGCACTTTGGGAGGCTGAGGTGGGCAGATCACTTGAGGTCAGGAGTTTGAGACCAGCCTGGCCAACATGGCAAAACCCTGTCTCTACCAAAAAATACAAAAATTAGCCTGGCGTGGTGGTGTGCACATATAATCCCAGCTACTGGGGAGGCTGAGATGGGAGTATTGCTTGAACCCAGGAGGCAGAGGCTGCAGTGAACCGAGTTTGCATGACTGCACTACAGCCTGGGCGACAGAGTGAGACCCTGTCTCAAAAAAAAAAAAAAAAAAAAAAAAAAAGGAAGGAAGAAAAAAGAAAAAAGAGACATGCAGAAATGAATTCAAGCAGACCCGGGTGTACCCCTACCCATATATGCCCCTCCTCTGCTTCGTGCCAGGTTTAAGGCTCTTTGCTGGTGGTGCAGAGGGCATTCTGAGGAGGTTACCAGGCAGGGCGGAGCCTCCCGGCACCCCAAGGAGCTGGCCTCTGCACCCAGCTTGATGGATGGGGGAGGAAGTGGGCTAAGGTAGAGGGCTGAAGGCGCTGACTTGCCCACAGTGGAGCTCAAGATCGAGGTGGTGCTGCCTGAGAAGGAACGAGGCAAGGAGGAGCTGTCGGCCAGTGGGAAGGGCAGCCCCCGGGCCTACCAGGGCAACGGCACGGCCCGCCACTTCCACACGGAGGAGCGTCTGCCCACCCCTCACCCCTACCCCAGCCCTCAGGATTGTGTGGAGGCTGCTGTCTGCCACGTCAAGGATCTCGAGAATGGCCAGTGGGTTCTGGGCCTGCCTGGGAGGGGAGATCAGGGGTCCCAAGGTGGGAGGGTGAGGTACAGGCCGTAGCCGGGGGTCGGGGTTGGCCTGAAGGGGCTATGACCAGCTGCTGCCCTGGTCACTGCCTTTGTGGCTTCTACCGGTCTGGGCCTGCTCCCCAGAAGGCTGGACACTGGGAGGAGCTGCCAGGAGGTTGTGCCTGGTGTCTGGCCTGACCTCTGAGTGCTGCGGTTCCCCAGGATGCGGGAAGTGGAGCTGGGCTGGGGGAAGGTGTTGCTGGTGAAGGACAATGGGGAGTTCCACGCCCTGGGCCATAAGTGTCCGCACTACGGCGCACCCCTGGTGAAAGGTGAGCTGTCAGGTGGGAGGTGTGAGGGGGACCTGCCAGGCCCCATGCCAGCTTGGCTCCTCCCCAGACCTCAGGATCTTCATCTATTAGTGAAGTCTCCCGGGCTTTGGGGAGGGGCCCGCAGTTGCCAGGGCACTGAGATCCTTGGGAAGCAAGCCCTGCTGGTGGCCCCAGCCTAGCACCTCCCCTTCCCAGGCGTTCTGTCCCGTGGTCGGGTGCGCTGCCCCTGGCATGGTGCCTGCTTCAACATCAGCACTGGGGACCTGGAGGACTTCCCCGGCTTGGATAGTCTGCACAAGTTCCAGGTGGGGCCAGGAGTGTGGTGGGGTGAGAACCTGGGGGTGTGGGGTTTGGGGCTGGTCCTGAGGAATGCAGCCCTTGCAGGTGAAGATTGAGAAGGAGAAGGTGTACGTCCGGGCCAGCAAGCAGGTGAGGGGGTAGCTCGGGGCTCAGGCAGGAGGGAGGAGCCGGGAGGGCATCTTGGCCCAGAGAATGGCATGTGCAAAGGCCCTGTGGTGAGAGGAGCTTGGCACATGTCACTTGAGCAGAGTGAGGGGTTGCGGTAGGGATGAAGCTGGGCTGGAGTGGCAGGACCTGCCTGCCAGGATGATGGCAATGACCCTCCACCCTCCTGGCACCCACAGGCCCTACAGCTGCAGCGAAGGACCAAGGTGATGGCCAAGTGTATCTCCCCAAGTGCTGGGTACAGCAGTAGCACCAATGTGCTCATTGTGGGCGCAGGTTGGTAGTGGGGTCATGAGGGGCAGGGTGGGAGATGGGATTGGTGAGAAGTGGTCCCCGGCCCACGGGCCCCTCCCCTCAGGTGCAGCTGGCCTGGTGTGTGCAGAGACACTGCGGCAGGAGGGCTTTTCCGACCGGATCGTTCTGTGCACGCTAGACCGGCACCTTCCCTATGACCGTCCCAAGCTCAGCAAGGTAGCGGGGGTGGGGCAAGTGGGACCCTATCCCTCTGAGTCCTAGTTAAGCCCACTTCAAGCCTTGCTTGTCACCCCGTGGACGTCTGGCCGGCTGCCCTCTCTGCTTATGCCAGGCCTGTCCGTGGTACCCCCAAAAGGTCTAGATTCCTTGTTGTTTTGAGACAGCGTCTCATTCTGTCACCCAGGCTGGAGTGCAGTGGTGCGCTCTCGGCTCACTGCAACTTCCATCTCCTGGGTTCAAGTGATTCTCGTGCTTCAGCCTTCTGAGTAGCTGGGATTAAAGGTGTGTACCACCACCACGCCTGGCTAATTTTTTGTATTTTTAGTAGAGATGGGGTTTCACCATGTTGCCCAGACCAGTCTTGAACTCCTGAGCTCAGCCCATCCACCCACCTCAGCTTCCCAAGGTGCTAGGATTACAGGTGTGAGCCACCGCACCTGGTTTTTCTTTTTTTGAGACAGGGTCTTGCTTTGTCACTCACGCTGGAGCACAGTGCCTGTCTCATGGCTCACTGCAGCGTTGACCTCTACCTCCCAGGCTCAAACAATCCTCCCACCTCAGCCTCCCGGTAGCTAAGACTACAGGCGTGCACCACCACGCCTGGCTAATAATTTTTTGTAGAAACGTGGTTTTGTCATGTTGCCCAGGCTGGTCTTGAACTCCTGGGTTCAAGCGATCCTCCGGTCTCAGCCTCCCAAAGTGTTGGGATTATAGGCATGAGTCACTGCGCCCGGCCAGATCTGGGTTTGCTGAGTTCTGTCCTGCAGCCCCTATGTCACTGGGGCTGGCCCTACCTTCCCTGAGCCCCAGTGTCTTCTGCTGTAAACTGGCTCCTCTCAAGCTGCCTCACCCCTGCAGTCCCTGGACACACAGCCTGAGCAGCTGGCCCTGAGGCCCAAGGAGTTTTTCCGAGCCTATGGCATCGAGGTGCTCACCGAGGCTCAGGTACAGGGTCAAGGGTGGGAAACAGGCCCTGAGGAGGGAGGGTGGGAACATGAGGTTGTGTGGGCCCCGGGGGTGGGGTCTTGGTGCTCTACTTTCCTGACCCCACTGCCCAGGCACCTGGAAGGTGCTCCAGGCTTGGGAGACAGCAAGGAGCTTTTTCCCGACAGGTCATGGGCACACACAGAGCCCCAGGGTGTGCGGAGATGAACAATCAGGGCTGGATAGGAGAGACTGGTGGGACTTGGGAGGGTAAGGAGAGGTTTGAGGGGAAGGTGATGTCTGAAGCTTAAAGAACAAAGTCCAGGCCGGGTGCGGTGGCTCAAGCCTGTAATCCCAGCACTTTGGGAGGCCGAGACGGGCGGATCACGAGGTCAGGAGATCGAGACCATCCTGGCTAACACGGTGAAACCCCTTCTCTACTAAAAAGTACAAAAAACTAGCCGGGCGAGGTGGCGGGCGCCTGTAGTCCCAGCTACTCAGGAGGCTGAGGCAGGAGAATGGCTTAAACCCAGGAGGCGGAGCTTGCGGTGAGCTGAGATCCGGCCACTGCACTCCAGCCTGGGCGACAGAGCCAGACTCCGTCTCAAAAAAAAAAGAAAAGAACAAAGTCCAAGTGGCAGGATCTGTTCTAATGGGAGCTTCTCAGAGGCTGTGGCTGGGCTGTGGGTGTACTGCAGGACACAGGAGTGGCCGGCGAGGCCCAGCCCCATGCTCAAGCTCATGCTCTGCCTGGCCGGGGTTGCAGGTGGTCACAGTGGATGTGAGAAACAAGAAGGTCGTGTTCAAGGATGGCTTCAAGCTGGAGTACAGCAAGCTGCTGCTGGCGCCAGGGAGCAGGTGGGACGGTCTCCTTTTTACCCATGGGACACCGGGCAGGACACTGGCCTGGACGGGGCTGGGGCTGCCAGGAGGCCCTCACTGACACTGCCATGTCTCAGCCCCAGGACTCTGAGCTGCAAAGGCAAAGAAATGGAGAACGTGTTCACCATCCGGACGCCAGAGGATGCCAATCGCGTGGTGAGGCTGGCCCGAGGCCGCAATGTGGTCATCGTGGGAGCCGGCTTCCTGGGTGAGAGGTAGTGGGCGGTGGGGATGGTGATCAGGTCGTCATGGCCAGTCCCAGGGAAGTTCTGGTCGAGGAAGGTGCAGGTGCCAGCCTGCCACCCCTGCCCACGACCAGGGATGGAGGTGGCCGCTTACCTGACGGAGAAGGCCCACTCCGTGTCTGTGGTGGAGCTGGAGGAGACGCCCTTCAGGAGGTTCTTGGGGGAGCGCGTGGGTCGTGCCCTCATGAAGGTGAGCCCACTCCAGCACGCACGCAGCGCCTTGGAGCCGTGGGGCCCAGCCTGGCCCCTGGCTGGACTCTCATCCACTGCCCACCTGCCCACTTGTCCTGACAGATGTTTGAGAACAACCGGGTGAAGTTCTACATGCAGACTGAGGTGTCAGAGCTGCGGGGCCAGGAGGGAAAGGTGGGCCCTTCTCCCTTCTGTCCTCTGTCCCCTGAGCCCAGGAGTTGGGCCCACCTGTTCACCCACCCACTCCCCACAGCTGAAGGAGGTTGTGCTGAAGAGCAGCAAGGTTGTGCGGGCTGACGTCTGCGTGGTGGGCATTGGTGAGTTGGTGTGTGGGCAGGCAGGCGCAAACCAGCACAGCCGTCTGCACACGCTCACATGTGACCTTGGGCTAGTCCCTTCCCCTCCCAGAGCCTCAGTTTCCACCACATCTGTCAAACAGGGACCCCCAACCACCCCTACTTTACGGAGCTGTTGAGGAAGGTGTGTACCGGGCTCAGCCCAGGCCTGGCACAGAAGATGCCCCCAGTGCCCACTGCCCAGTAACACTCATCTCCATGCCTTGCGAGAGTTGACATAGACAAGCCCTGAACTGGCTCTTGCTCCAGCTGAGGTGCTAATTTGGGTAGGGGCCAAGATGGGAGGTGGTAGTGCCTGCAGGGCTGAGGACCTGTGGCATGCCGTCCCTCCACTTAAGGGCCTCATGGAGCACTTCTTGGAGAAGGTGATCCCTTAGGTCTTGCAGGAGGCACCGGATCTGTGGGAGCCCGGTTAGTGGGGGCCAGGGTGCATGAAGGCCTCAGGTGGCAGCCCCTGGAGGATCAGTCTGGGGATGTCACATCAAACGCAGGGTGTGGGGTGTGGAGAGTGACTGTGCAGAAGGGAGGGACAGGGGAGTGAACACAGGCCTCTGTCCTGTCAGGTGCAGTGGCTGCCACAGGCTTCCTGAGGCAGAGCGGCATCGGTCTGGATTCCCGAGGCTTCATCCCTGTCAACAAGGTGGGGTAGATGGCACTGGGTGGGGAGGGCCCGGTGCTGGGCTGGGAGTGGCAGGAGGTTCAGGTCAGGGCCCCTGTCGCACCGATGGAGTCCTGGGCCCTCTCTCTACAGATGATGCAGACCAATGTCCCAGGCGTGTTCGCAGCTGGTGACGCCGTCACCTTCCCCCTTGCCTGGAGGAACAACCGGAAAGTGAACATTCCACATTGGCAGATGGCTCATGCTCAGGGTATGGCCAGTCCCAAGGCACATGGAGGGGTGTGAGGGAGTCCCAGGGTCTCAGTGTCCCCATGCCCATGCCTCAGTTGCTGACCTTGGGTCTCGGACACTGTTAGGCATCAAAGCTCTGATGTGGATTCTCTGGCCAGCCTCATCCTGGCGATCCAGGCAACACAGAGAGCAACACCCCATTGAGCCAGCCACAGCTCCTCAATCTCAGTTTTCCTTCTGGTAGTCTCTCCCTTTTTTGTCCTCAAGGACCTATATTCTGCAGAATTCCTGACCAACCTGTGCAGTTACCCTGGGGAGGGAGGGAGGGATTTAGTGGATCACCTTCCTACTTTGTGCCTCTGTTTCCCTTGGGCCACTCAAGTATCTCTGTGAACTCAGTTCAGCCTCATGCAGGTCCCCGAGGTGCCATCTAAGCCCAGAGACCTGGGCTCAGTGGAGGCACTGTGCTTTCTGAGGAATAGCTTTCCCCTCCTGCTGTTTGCTGGCCACCAAGTCCCCCAAGCCTCATCCACTGTGCACATCTGGTCTGGGCCCTTAAGCTGCAGGTGCCATCACGTTAGTTGCCTCACTGCCTCAGAGAGAGGACTGCCAGACCCCCAGCCTGGGACAAGGGACCTCTCTGCACCCATTTCCCCTTCCCTCTGCCATTACACCTGAGGGTCTGCTGCTTGAGACCCCACTCCTGGTACCAATTTCTACTCAAGTCCAAAGTCTAAAGTTGTTGCTAGGTTGTAAGTAACCAAGGCTACTGATCCGCCAAGTATAATTAGGATTTAACTGGGAGAGTTTAGGGGACTTTGAAGTACATCCAACTACAGACTCTACTGGGGCCTCATAGGAACTGGGGAGCCATCCACACTGGTCTCTTCGGAGCCCTGTGTGTGGCTGTCATCTGTGCTTCCCTGCGTACTTGTGGCCCATTTTTCTCCCTCTTCAGACCTGATATGTCTGATTAGGTGTCTGTGTGCACAGCCCAACCCCAAGAAGCAGACCTTCCAGAGGCAGGGCACTGTATTCAGATTCTCTCAGGAAGCAATCAAGTGGCGAGCTTGGAGTCAGGTGTTCCCCTGCAACAGTCAGCTGCAGGTGCAAGTGAGCAGTGGTATGAACAATGATGTCTCTTGACCTCTGGGGAGACCAGGAGGAGTAGCCACACGTGTCAGGGGTCCCAACGGCATCAGGAGCAGGCAGTGTGGGAGTGGTAAGGGCGAAAGTCAGGGTTCTCACGGCCCTGGGTCCTGCAGGGCGCGTGGCAGCCCAGAACATGTTGGCGCAGGAAGCGGAGATGAACACCGTGCCCTACCTCTGGACCGCCATGTTTGGCAAGAGCCTGCGCTACGCGGGTAACCCGGGGGCCTCGAATGGGGGCGGGGCCAAGGGCGTTTGGGGGCGGGGCTTGGGTGTGGGGCGGGGCGGGGCGGAGAGCCTACGGGCAGGGCTGTGACTGCACTAGGAAGAGGCCGGTAAGAACTCGCTGGCGGCGAGGCTAGGAACTACCTAAAAGGACGTATGGAGCAGGGCCTGGGCGGGGTTAGGAGGGGATCCTGTGAGTCTCGTTCCCTCCTCCGGCTCACGTGGGTGCCACCCACCTGCCCGGCCCACAGGCTACGGAGAAGGCTTCGACGACGTCGTCATCCAGGGGGATCTGGAGGAGCTGAAGTTTGTGGCTTTTTACACTAAGTGAGAGCACCGGGGTGCAGCTTGGCGCGAAGCAGCGGGAGCTCAGTCGGGAAGGGGGATTCATCCCAGGCAAAATCCCAGAACAAGAGCCCAGCCCTGAGCCCCGCTGAGGAGTGCTGGAGCTTCCTTAGGAAAGCCTGAAGCTTGTGCACGGTCAAGCCCCGATGTGCAAAGCAGGGAGGGCTGGGTGCTCAGGACATTCCTGTTCCCCTGGGGTAGGTCCTTCCCTGGGCCCCAGAATGACAGCAGTGCATCAGGATCTTCAAAAAGGGGCTGCTGCCTGGCAGTCCTCAGGCTTGGCCATCCTCTCCCTGCAGAGGCGACGAGGTGATCGCCGTGGCCAGCATGAACTACGATCCCATTGTGTCCAAGGTCGCTGAGGTTCTGGCCTCAGGCCGCGCCATCCGGAAGCGGGAGGTGGAGTGAGTGTGGGTGTGGGAAGCCTGGGGGCGGGAGTAGTTCCCTGGAGGACTGGCTAAGGTGCCCACGACAGCCAGCCGCCCCCACAACCCTCCAGGGCCTTGCCCCTCACTCTTGGTTTGCATCACCGGAGGCTTCCAGGACTACAGGGAGGTGTGGGGCAAGGATAATGGTTTGGGAGCAGGCTGGTTATGTGTTCATGGTGGATGGAAGGAATAGGGATGTGTGTCCCCAGGCAAGGCCAGTGCTGTGGGGAGGGGTCAGGGCCCAATGCATGGGCAATCACCAGGCCTGGGACACCTAACTGGACATGGTTGTGCTGAGCCCGGCAGAAGCTTGTGGGAAATGCAGCTACTGATGCCTTGGGTATGCCCTCCACAGAGATGGTGGGGGTGGTTCTAGGTTTCACTCAACACCAGCCAGTTCCCTTATCCTGGTGTGGTGTCAATGAGATTCACCCTCTCGGAGAAAGCTCCCAGGGACTAAGGACAGCCTGGAGGCCACTGGGGGGCTATGAGACAGGGGCAGGCTCTAGGCTGGAAACAATGGAGGACCAGAAGGGGACATGATAAATGCTCTCTCCTTGGCCTTCTCTCTGTTTCTCTCTTGCCTTCGTGAAGGCTGTTTGTGCTGCACAGCAAGTACGTGTGTCCTTCATGTTGACTGTTCTGAGCCTTTCCCATGTCAGCCCAGACCCTCCACCCAATGGTCTATCTCCATCTGTCCAAGTACACCTCCCCGCTGGGCACTAGGGTCTGGCACAGAACAGACCCCCTGCTGTCCTCAAGGGCCAGCTGTTCAGGGTGCCCAGAGTGGAGAGCCTGTTTTCTTCTGTCCTGATCCCTCCTCCCCTCATTCCTGCAGGACTGGCGACATGTCTTGGCTTACAGGGAAAGGATCCTGAGCTCACATGCAGTAGACTTGGGCAGGCAAAGGGGGGCACCAGGGGCAGAGGCCAAGCCTTGGGGGCAGGTGCCAATCTCCAGTCCCAGGATCCCCCAGGGCAGAACCTGAGCCCTCCCAGTGCTTGCCTTCAGCCACCTGGCTCCCCTCCTGGGAGGCCTCTGCTGGATCCAGAAGATGCTCAACCCTCAAGGCCTCTACTGCCACTGACAGCTGGCACTGGAGGCAGGACAGGCCCTGCCTCTTCTCCCTCTATTGGGACTGGTCCCCTGAAGAACCCTGCAACATGTAGACATTGCCGTAAAATTAAAACGCACAAACTTGCAGACCTGTATGACTCCCAGTGTAATTGGGCCGATAGGCACAGGGCCAGACCACAGGGAAACAGGCACAATCACAGCATGCTAGGTGCCACACCAAGGAAATTTGGCCTGTGAACTCCCAAAGGAGGTAGCAACTAATTCTGCGCCCCACGCCCTCCCACATCCCTCTCCCTCTCTGCGATCAGCGAACGCTTTTTGCTTTTGGCTCTGAATTTCGAAGGAAGGGTATTTCAGGTAGAAGGGACAAGCCCAAAGGTCTTAAGATAGTAAATGCTCCTTCAGAGGTGGCTCATGCTTGACACTTTGGGGCATTTGCCCACTTAGGGTTGTGGTAGTTGTGTCCTGAGACAGACCCCATGCTTTTCATAGCTGGAGCATTCTCAATCCCAGTGTCGGAGGTGACGCAGCTGAGGCCCTGCTAAGTAGAAATGAGAATCCAGAGGCTCATCGCCGGGCTGTCTCTCAGTCAGTAAGAACACCAAGGAGAGAGGGGAGATGCAGGGAGTCAGGGCTGGGGGCGCTAGCGGGAAAGGGAGCGTTGAGCGCCCGCAGAGGCCGCTGCGAGCCCGGAACCCTCCTTGGGGAGTCCCGGCAGCGGCAGACGATCCAGGCCGGAGCCATGCGCAGACACAAGGCATGCTGGGAACTGCGAGCCAGCCGCGGGTCTTCGGGCTTCGTGGGCCTGGGAGGCGCCGGGAAAAGCAGTCGCGACGGGGTTAGGGACGAGACACTGCATTCACTGGAAGGGACAACCCGGCGCCAGTACATAGCCTGAAACGCTCCCCAGAGAGTCCCACGCTTGCTGCGCCGTCCCCAACTGGATCCAGCACTAGCCCGCGGTGTCTTGGCAAGCGCTAGGCTTGTCGGGAAGAGCGGAAGGGCGCAAGCGCGGCGCTGGCCGGAAGTGCCGAGCTGTCAGTGCAGGGCTCGCCGGGAAATGTGGTTCCTCCAGGCGGCCCGGGGCGGTGGCCGCAAGTTCTGCGGACAGCGCGGCCGATCAGGCGTGGACCCGGGATGGCTGGACCGGGCAGCACAGGGGGCCAGATTGGGCCCGGGGCCCTGGCAGGCGGCGCGCGGTCCAAGGTAGCCCCGAGCGTGGACTTCGATCACAGCTGCTCGGACAGTGTCGAGTACCTGACGCTCAACTTCGGGCCCTTCGAAACAGTGCATCGCTGGCGGCGCCTCCCGCCCTGCGACGAGTTCGTGGGTGCCCGGTACGGTGGGCTTCATGGGATCCTGAGGACAGGAAGGGCGATCTGCGAGAGTCCCAGGGCGGGGTCCAGGGGCGAGGCCGGTGCGTGGTGTCCTGGGGTAGGATCTGGTAATGAGGTGGATGGTGCTGTACAGGACGCTGTTCAGGGCAGGGGAGAGAGGGTTCCGAGGGAGTCCCAGAGCCCGATGACCTGGGACAGAATACTAGAACTAAGTTGTGTTTGTGGATATTGAGCTGGGGTCCCAGGTGCTCTGAGGTGGGGTGAGGAGTCCAGAAAGTCCTGGAGCCGTGTCAGGGGTCCTCACTTGCAGGGTGATTGGTGTTATCTTAGAAGATGATCGATCCTAGCAGTTGAGAGGTGATATCTAACTTCTGTGGCAGCTCTCCTGCTTAGTCCCATTCCTTAGGTGCCCCCCAGGAGGGTCCTGTCCTTACCGCCCTCCACTCCTTTCTTTCCAGGCGCAGCAAGCACACAGTGGTGGCCTATAAAGATGCCATTTATGTATTTGGTGGAGACAATGGGTGAGTGAGTCTGAGCATCAGTGTTTGGACCAGGTAGGGAGAAGTACTGTGGTCAGGGCCTGGGCCTGCCCAGCTCCATTACTGTCCTTTCAGATGTTAGCTAGTGCCTCTAAGCTTCAGTTTCCCCATCTGTGAGATTCCTTGCACTCACCTCCCTGGTCGTGGTGAGGATTAAATGAGATCCTGCACTCATGATCCTCAGCACAGCTTCCAGTGGGTGGCACTTGCTCAGTATGTGGAACTGTCCCTCTTCTGAGTAGACGCAGCCTTGAAAGAAACACAACCACTCTTGCAGCCAGCCCTGCCAGGCACTTTTCTTTCCCTGGGCCTCATCCAGTATGGCGGACACAGTTTTATTTATTTCACGCATTTTTCACTTTTTGTGAGGGTTTTCCCACGTTGCTGCGAACATTCAGGCAACAACATGATGTTTTGTTGGTGGGCACACCTCCTTTCACATAAACTGTCTCCAGTTAAGTTGTGGCTGGTTTCCTTATGCAGAGGGTGGAGTATTTGCACAT